CCTGATATTATAAGTGCATGCCACCATGCCCTGCGGGGCATGCAAATTCTTAACCTGCTGCTCTACTCTCAATCACCTCAATGGTGGTCTGACAGGTTGTTAGAAGTTGGCTTGGGTTCCAGATGAAACATTGCGGGTACTCTCTTTAGCTTGTGTGGCTGATGAAGCCATGGCTAGCAGGAGGGCTGTATGACTGGCTTAGGAGCTATAGGGATGGGGAGGGTCGTGGAACTGGTCTTCTGGTCAAAGCTTGGGGAGTTACACAGATTGGTGGCTGAAAATGGTGGTTTATTACTGGTTGAAGGTGTTTTTGTTTGTTTTGAACTTTTATAAGTATATTATATGAAAACATGCTGAGCTGATGAAAGAGGAATTTAATTTCAGCTCCATTTAAAGGGAATATGAACAAATGAAGCCATCTTGCCCTAGAGGTAGAGTCCACATAAATACCAAGCCTGGAAGCCCAAGGCATCCTTTGAGAATTAAATAATGATGACAGTCAAGGTTCCAAATATCAGATCCAGAGGCAATGATGACTGAAATTGTTAAGAATTATCCAGTCTCTTTTTAAAATTTACTACTTATTTATTTTGGYACTAGGGATTGAAYTTAGGGTGCTTTACCACTAAACTACATCCCCAGTTCTTTTTATTTATTCATTGATTTTTTTTTAGTTGTCAATGGATATTTATTTATTTATATGCAGTGCTGAGAATCAAACCCAGTGCCTCACACATGATAGGCAAGTGCTCTACCACTGAGTTACAACCCCAGCAGCACTCTATTTTTTGAGACAGGGTCTCACTAAATTACTCAGGCTGACTTTGAATTTGTGATCCTTCTGCCTCAGTGTCCCAAGTAGGTGAGATTATAGGCATGAACCACTGTCCCTGGCTGAGCAACATCTTATGTCTTTAGTTTTGTGGAATGATGGTCAAGAGTGAGGGTTCTGGACATAAATAGTTTGGATTAGAATCCTAGCTCCATTACTGACCTTATGCAAGTCACTTAACATCTATGAAACGGGGTAATTAATAATAGTCTTTATCTCACAGGGTTGATGTGAGGATTGAACAAATTACAAATGCTAGAAACTTTACATATTGCCTGGCACACAGTAAGCACTCAAGCATTATTATCATAATTTATCTTTGCACACTGGTGTCCATCCTTTTTTTTTTTTTTTTAACCCAATGGCACTTAACCCCAGCCCCTTTTCTGTACTTCAGTTAGACAGGATCTCTAAGAAACTAAGTTGCTTGGTGCCTTGCTTTTGCTAAGGCTGGCTTTGAACTTGCTATCCTTCTGTCTCAGCCTCAGGAGCTGCTGGGATTACACAGGTGTACCACCGCACCCAGCTGGTGTCCATTCTTATTCAAGATTCACTGAGTAGACTGCTATTCTATGCTAGACACAGTGATAGACATCTCAGTTACTAAGATAAATCATGTATCATCCCTGCCCCCACAAACTTCCAGCAAGGGAGAAAGAAAACCACTTGCTGCTATGACACAGAGGGTTTTTTTTTTTTTTTTTGGTGATGGGTATTGAGCTTAGGGCCTCACAAATGCTAAGTGTGTGCTTTACTACTGAGCTACATCTCCTTGCCACAGAATTTCTTAAATTGAATAGGATTGTTTGTGTACTTGGATGAGAAAAAATTTACACCTTCATACTAATCTCTAACTGAAATTTAGTATTTCCTTCAACTACTAATGTGAAGGGGAACTCATAGTAGTGTTTAACAGTATTTGTGACTTTGTTACCAAGAGAAATAACAGATATTTTCATATCACATTACAGTTCTCTCAGGTATCTCAAAATATTATTTATCCTTATCACTACTTTGCAGATTTGATAGTTATCAGACTGACCTGCTCCTAGCTCATATTACTACTTTCATAAAGAAGCACTCATAGTATTACATCACAACTTTAGTTTGTACTATTTTGGTAACAATATTTTATTGTAATTTGTTTTCTTCATAATCTAATAAACTTTACATTTATGTACTTTTTAAAGGTGTCAGTGGACTGCCAAAGGAGTCCAGGCACACACACAAAAATCTTTAAAATTCCAGTTCTGAAGTCTATATGAAGCAAAGTATGGGTACTAGTGAAAGTGGGAGAAGTATAGATGGAAGAGTACAAAGAGATGACTATCTGGTCAGAGAAGCTAGTGACCCTCAGTTTTAAAATTAATTTCAGACAGTTAGCCTATGGTACTTTACTAAGGATAACTTTATTCTAATTACAAAAGAGCATAGAAATTAGAGTTAGAAAACCTGGGTTCAGTTCACAGCTCTGACAGTGAACAACAAGCAAGTCATTTAATCTCTGGAAGCCTACTTTATCACCTATAAAATGGAATTAATGCTGGCTTTATAGGATCATTGTGAAAAAGTGAGATAATATGGACAAAAACATACTGACAAGTATTAAAATGATTGCTATTTTTTCCTTAAACACATATTTTGTCATGTGCTGGAAAATATAAAAGAAAGGAATAATGGTCTTTGCTTTTTAGGAATTAAGATTTCAATTCCAGACATAATATAAAAATAAACATGAGACCCTTAGAAACAATTTAAATTCAGTATGTGTAGAGGAATTAAACATATACATGTTATGAACAGACATCAGAAATCTCAAAAACAGTTGTTGTCCCTAATTCAGAAATAAACATAAAACAAGTAAGGTAGACACAGAAGAGGCCAACCCTGAGATGGCCTGCAAATGTTTTACCTATCTGATTAAGAAGATAGTAACAGGGCTGGGGTGTACCTCAGTGGTAGAGTATCTGCCCAGTCTGTACAAGGTCCTGGATTCAATTCCCAGCAACATACACGGAGAAATCGAAGATTTCTCAACTAGTTCTAATTTATCTAAGTTAATAAGATTTTTTTCTCCAGTATTTTACATACTAGATAAAGGAGAATTCAAATGTGAGGATTTCTTACTATGCCTCTCTCCCAGCATAGTTAGCTTTGATTTTCATGACCAGTGCAGGTTAACATATACAGACCCTGCAGAGGTCCACATACCCAAAGCTAACAATGATGTTCTTTAAACGTTATTTATTTAGAACATTCTAAACCCCTTAAGTCCATTTCTCTGTTCATCAGAGATTTATGATAATTTATCCTTTGGTTCTTTTCTTTGACTGTATGTGCTCCTCTATTCCATTTTTCATCAAAGAATGGAAGAACCCTGGTCAAATGATAGAATGGGCATTTTGCCAGTTATAGCTATAGTTAGTTAATAACAAATTAATATTCTGGTTTATAACTTGATATTTTGTGATTTGCTTAGTGTAATTTAATGCTTCAAAATTGACTGAATTGATGAAACCTCATTTCCTAACTCCATAAAAATGAAGATGAGGACTTTACTAAGATCTAAATACCCACAAGTCTCTGTGGGATGTCATTAATCAGAGATGGCTTACTTTAGAAATCCAAAAAACAAACAAACAAACAAACAAACCCATTTTTGTATAGGGAAAATTTAAAACACAGAGCACAGAGAATATATAACAAGAAAGCATGCTGAATTCTTTTTGTCTAAATATAAAATACAGGGAAGCTGACCTTAGAAATTAGCAACAGGTATACCTATTTTCAGGTAAGATGTACAGCTAATTTCAGATGTGTTACTGAGATGCCAAATTTTACATTAAATCCATCATTTGTAGAACTTGTTTTCTGAAGAAACAAAATGTTTTGATAAAATCAGTACTTTAGATATTTAAATAACCATTCCAAAGAAGGCTCGTTTTGTAAATAGTTTTGCAGTTAACTAGAGAGAACCCCAAAATAGACGTTTGGAAAAAAAAAAAAACCCCAAGAAGAGAATGAAATGGTTCTGTTTGTAGATCGGGATTTTTCAAGATTATGTTTCATTTCGACGTAATGTAAGATAGCAGGATTTGAGTTTGGAAAAACATCCTAGGAGATCATTTTGTCCAACCAGAAAGCTTTCAGAGCATTAGCTCTCAGACCAACCTGTACTACAAGACTGAATCGGGCCTATGCATCGATCTTTTCAAGCAAGACCCGCAAGACACCGGATTCCCTCTCGTTTTTTTTTTTTTTTTTTTAGCGCAAAATGAATGGATTGTCAAAAGGAGTGTCCGTCCTGCTAGGAAACCGACCCGTTCATCTGGGTCGGGGGTGGCGGGGGAGGATCGGAGATTGCTCCCATCGTGCGGAGGAGCCACGACCTCTCTGGCTAACAACCCTGAAACCTCACAACAAATACAAAATTAGTTTTCCTTGTTTCTCTCAGACATCCCTTGCCACCTTATAAATCGCTCCCTTCGCMGGAGCCCAGTGGCGCCCGACAACAGCTGCCGCCGCAAGCCGGGGGCTGAGGTGGGATTCGGTCAAGGGTGCCTTGGGGCACGTGGTGGCGAGGGGACAGGGGACGCGATCCCCGCCCCCGGGGCCCTTCCAGCTGGGAAGCGACCCCCCCTACACACTTGGTGGGCACACCAAGCCCCAGGCAGGCCGGGTCCTGAGACACTAGAGACTCGATTCGCCAAAGATCTCAGTTCACTTAATAGGCCCCTCACCCCCAGTTCCTTAGACGCCCGCCTCTCTCCAGGGGTTCCGTACCCCCCTGGGGGCGGCGACTGACGACGCTCAGAAGGCGAGAAACGGCTCCCTAAGCCGCTCGCTGGGTCCCTCTCTCCCCACAATGCACCGGGGCCAGCAGGAAGGCCGCTCCGACCCCTAATTTTCCCGCGAATTCAGTTCAAAGAGGCGGCCGGGCCCGCGATCGGCAACGCGCACGGGCCAACCAAGCCGCGCCTCCGCGAGAAGCGCCTCCGCGTGACTGACGGGGGAATCCGCGGGCCAACAGGCTGGGCGGCACGGCGGCGCGCGCTCCCGATGGCCAATCGGAGCTCCGGGAGGGGAAGTGGGCGGAGCGAGGCCAGGGTAGGGTGAGCGGCCTCCGAAGCGGAGCGGGGCTCTGAGGAGACACTTTTTTTTTTTCCTCCCTCCTTCCCTCCTCTCCTCCTCCCTTCCCTTCCCCTCTCCTCCCCTCTCTCCTCCTTCCCCCCTCGGTCCGCCGGAGCCTGCTGGGGCGAGCGGTTGGTATTGCAGGCGCTCACTCTCCGGGGCCGCCCGGCGGGTAGCTGGCGGGGGGAGGAGGCAGGAACCGCGATGGCGCCTCAGAAGCACGGCGGTGGGGGAGGGGGCGGCTCGGGGCCCAGCGCGGGGTCCGGGGGAGGCGGCTTCGGGGGTTCGGCGGCGGTGGCGGCGGCGACGGCTTCGGGCGGCAAATCCGGCGGCGGGGGCTGTGGAGGCGGCGGCAGTTACTCGGCCTCCTCCTCGTCTTCCGCGGCGGCAGCGGCGGGGGCCGCCGTGTTACCGGTGAAGAAGCCGAAAATGGAGCACGTCCAGGCTGACCACGAGCTTTTCCTCCAGGCCTTTGAGAGTGAGTGTGTGCGAGGCTTTGAGGGCTGGGAGACGCACTCTTGCGGCACCGGGGGCTGGGGGCTCGGGACTCTCGGCCGGGCCCCCTCCTCTCCGCGAGTGCACTTGGTTTGGGAGTGGAGGGAGGCTTCGCGGGGGATGTCCCCACGCCAGGGATTGCGGTTCCCCGGGACCCCAAGTCCTGGGCCTTTGGTGGAGGTGGGAGCGAGGTCCGGGTTGGGTTCTTGACTCCCCCACGGTCCGCAGGAGCGGTTCGGCGCGGGGGCCCCTCGTTAAGGGCAGGCTTTTGAGATGAGGTTGCACAGTTGGACTGAAGGTGCAGGGAGATCCCAGGACGAGTACTTATTTTCTTTCATGCCTTTCGTACTCCAGAAGTACCGGGGTTTCGATTGTAGGTTTCGAGGGGGGCAAGACTCAGCCTGGGAAGGGATGAATGCCGTGAGGCCGGCGAAATTGTCATGGGTCCGAAATGCCTGGGCACTAACTTGTGCTTCATCTTAACAAGGCACCTTTTGATGCTTTAAATCTTTCGAAATATATCCGCCCATTTTATGGACACGTAAACTGAGACAGGTAGTAGGCCAGCATCCTCTCTTGGAGAGGACCTCGGAACCCTGTCTTAACTTCCCGAACCTTAAGACAGTTTCTGCTTTTTAAAGGACTGTTTGGAGGGCGAAAACTAGGACTGACTTAGGTGGAAACGGGAGCAAGGTGTCTGGAGACAAACAATAGGATTTATAAACAATATCATGACTATAAACAATTGTAACTGATCTTTAATGTTTGTTATATCCTGATTTTTTGCTTTTGTGTGGACATTATAATTTGGGCAATCTTAAACAGCTAAGTATCTTACAGAAACTGGAATAAACTCAGCTCTACCGCTGAATGTCTTTATTTACAATCTTACCCTGGCATATGTTAAGGGCATGGTATCAGCTGTGCTTGGAAAGACATATTACATTGTTTAATACCCCTCCTTCATTCTCTCTCATTAGTGCTTCATGAAATTCTAATTGGAATTTAATTCTTGAAATTTCAGTTTTTACTGAAAAGAATGTGAACCTGCTTCAGAGAGATTTCACGTTATTCCTTTGCTTAATATACTTTAAAAAATCTGGGACGTCTGATTAGAAATAGGATGGAGAACTGAAGGACAGACATGACAATAAACGTACTTATTTGTACTTTTCTAAAATATCTTCTTTTAGTTTATCTTGAAACTAAAACGAACTGAAGAACAAGTGGAAATTTTTAAAGTTCTTTCTAAATCTTATGAAAAATCCTCCAAGAAAGTTTTAACTATTTGCTTTCTGATGCATCTACCTGGGAGARATCAACTGTCATTAAGAACTAGATCTGGTCACCAAACAACTTGATTCTTTTCAACATTGGTCTTAGTTTCTGGGAAGTTTAAATAAATGCTTTAGTGCAATTATTAATATAGTTACMTTTAGTTTATTTTGATGTTTTTTAAAGAAATGTGATACTAATAGATCATTAATACAAGGTGGTATATGTCTTTATTTTTTAACTTTAATCCAAGTCCTTTATAACAAATTTTAATTAATTTTAAATATTAAAAAGACTTTGGGACTCTTGTCAGTTGCACAGAAATATGTATTGGTGGCAGTATTTACATGTTGAGATAATATTTAAATTAAGAAAAACAAATCAAAATTAAACAAGTTAAAAATACTCAGTGAATTTTAGATACATGTAATGTCTTAGACTTCAGTATTGACTGATTTTCATCATATCTATATTGGGATGTCTGGAAAATGATTTTATTCCATTTTAGTTGTTACTATATGAAATTTTTAAATGGCCAATTAAAAAGTGAAATTTTCATTTTGTTTGGCAACAATAAATATTTATTTTTGTTGAATATAGCTACCTTATGTCAGCTGCTTTTTGGAAAGAGATGGGTTACAAATAGTAAAATTAGCTAATTAAATCACTACAACTATTTGGTTCTTCACAATAACAGTAACCACCTCAGAAAGGTTTAAGAACAAGATTATGGAGAGCCTTGAGTTTAAAATAAATGTCGGTGAATTTTGTGAATGTGCCATAGATTGAATGTGTTTTGATATTATTGTGCATACTTATTTCCTTGATTTAAATAATTAGTACATGGTTTTCATACCAGGTGATTGGATTCTATTGGTTATAACATGGGCTGGGTTGATAGTTTCCTTAAAAATTAGTAAATTTAGATAATGTTTGGATTTTTGTTTTCTGTTACCTAGAACCAACACAGATCTATAGATTTCTTCGAACTCGAAATCTCATAGCAGTAAGTAGTCAATGAAATTCATCAATATTATTTCATTTTTATAATTTCATTTGTATTGTATTTTAATATTTTTAAAACTTTTTTTATAGCCAATATTTTTGCACAGAACTCTTACTTACATGTCTCATCGAAACTCCAGAACAAACATCAAAAGGTACATTTTATGAATCTTATTTCAAGCTGATCAAACCATCTGAAAGTTTTGTCTTAAAGTACTGTTTCTAATTACAGGTTAAATATGAAAACTGAAGTGAAATAGTGGCTAGTTGAATTGGGTGCAAAGTAATTTTTAATAGTATTATTTTTGGAATCCTAATTTATTTCAGTTTTTTCCTAGTAGAAATGATTTAGTAGTAAAGTGAATGAGGTGATTTTTATTGACTCGTATTTTCACTAGTTATTTTCAAATTTGGTAAAAGTCCAGGATTTAAATACTTACTAAAGGGCTTACTATCTTTGAGACATAAAATATAATGTTTATTTTTTATTTTTTTTAATATTCTTTAGTTGTCAATGGGTCTTTATTTTACTTATTTATATGTGGTGTTGAGAATCGAACCCAGTTCCTCACCCATGCTAGGCAAGCACTCTACCACTGAGCCAAACCCCAGCCCAGAGGGAGTTTTAAAAAATCTTATTTATTTATTTTTTTGGTGGAGTTCTTTTTTTTTTTTTTTTTTTGTCTTTTTTGGAACTGGGGGTCCAACCCAGGGCTTTGCGAATGCAAGGCAGATGCTTTGCCACTGAGCTATATCCCAGCCCTTAATTTTTAAAAAATATTTCTTAATCTTTCTGTCTTATAGTGGAGTCAGGAGATGTGGTATGGTACACAGCTTATTTTTGGCATTTAACATTTATGACTTAGCCAAATGTAATCATGGAATGTGTTTCTTGTCCTATGTGCAAGACTATATTTATTGAGTATATCAAGTTAACAAGTTAAATTTAAAAGAGAGAACTATCAAATATTTAGTATGTTATAGTCTTAAAACCATTAAGCTATTTCAATAGACTTTGAAACTCCCTAGGAGACTCCTAGTTATTAAATAGGCATCACATTTGTATAGCAAGATCTAGTTTTATAGATTTATTAAAGTATATTTTAAAGAATTGACATTAAAATAATTTGTCTTTTAACAGTCTAAGGTGAGAGACAGAGAAAACATTGTGTTCAGAAGGTGAAAATTGCTAAGGATCCAAATAAGTAAGAAGGGTGTGATGAAGTAGGTAACAGAACCTGTCTACTCTGTTGATTAATGCCAGGGTACAGCAGACATTTTTTGTAAAAGGACTAGATAGTAAATATTTTAGGTTTTTTGTGGCCAGGAGGCAAAATCAAGGATATTATGCAGGTGCTTAATATAAACAACAGCACCAAAAAAAAAAAAAAAAAAATCCCCAGTTCTTTTACTGATGAAATTCAATATTACAATACAACAATACAAAGTAAAATATTTTGTAACAAGCCTACAAGTAAGAAATGTAGAATTCTTTTTGAGATAACATTTTGCTTAATTGGGGTTCAGAGTTAAGTGTTCTCTGTCATCAGATCAGTTGCCAATGTTTTTTCTGTTAAAATTATTCTTGGGGGCTGGGGTTGTAGCTCAGTGGTAGAGTACTTGCCTAGCACGCGTGAGGCACTGAATTTCATCCTCAGCATTCATAAAAATAAATAAATAGAATAAATGTATTGTGTCCATCTACAACTTAAAAAAAAATCATTCTTAGTTTGTGGATTAAACTGTGTAGTCAGCCATAGTTTGCTGACCCTTGATTCATTTCATAGAACTAAGAAAATTTGATTAAGTTAACCTTTTTCTTTCACTAAGTTATTTTAAAATTTTTATTCTTTGGGACCAGGGATTGAATCTTTGGGCTTTTTATCACCATGCCACATCCCCAGGCCTTTTTATTTTTTATTTTGAGTCAGGATATCATTAGATTGCTTAYAGCTTTGCAAGTTGCTGATTCTAGCTTCGAACCTGCAATACTGGGCTGCTGGGATTACAGGGGTGTGCTACCATGCCTGGCTAAATTATTTTTAATATGGATAGTCAGTTGAGTTATTAAGATATTGCCTAATTTTAATTTTAAAAGTGATTAAGTTCTTAAAGAATAAGTGTATTAATCCATAAATGGATTACAAATATACATTTAAAATCTTACCTTCTTCTTCCTTTGTGGTACTGGGGATCGAACCCATGGCCTTGCACATACTAGGCAAGCATTGTTCCATTGAGCTACATCCCCAGCCCTTTTTGTTTTATTTTGAGATAGGGTCCTGTTAAGTTTTTAGCCCAGGCTGGCCTCAAACTTTCCATTCTTCCTACCTCAGCCTCTCAAGTAGCTGGAATTACAGCTGTGTGCCACTGTGCCAAGTTTTTCATTTTCTTATCATGTTTGTTTATTAGACTGTCTCATTTTGGAATATATTGTGTCCAGTAGATGGATAGTTTAAAAAACTTGGTAGTATAAACTGATTTTCTTAATTATTGCCATTTTTATTTTAAAATATTTGCGGTTTGGGGATTTTTAAGCAATTTTCTAGCCAAAAAAACAAAACCAAAAAAAAAAAAAACATTTATTCTTTCTTTATTATTGGTTCTGGAAATTGAATTCAGGAGCACTTTATCACTGAGCTGCATCCCAACTCTTATATTTTGAGACAAGATCCTGTTAAATTGCCTCTGCTAACCTTGAACTTCTAATCTTCTGCCTCACTGCATGCATTGTTGTGTTTGCCTAGCCAAAATCAAACTCTCCTTTATTTCCATTAAGAAATGAATAGACATTGGTTAAACTCTCTTATTATATACCTGACTTTATATATTAGACTTTAAGAGTAATTTTGTGTGTGTGTGTGTGTGCGTGTGTGTGTGTGTGTGTGTATACTGGGGGTTAAATCAAGGAGTGTTTAACCCCTGAGCCACATCCCCAGTCCTGTTAATTTTTTAATCTTTATTTTATTTATTTGTTTTTATGTGGTGCTGAGGATTGAACCCAGGGCCTCGCGTGCTGGGCAAGCGCTTTACTGCTGAGCCACAATCCCAGCCCCAGTCCTTTTTATTTTTTGAAACATGGTTTTGCTAAGTTGCTGAGGCWGGTTTTGAATTTGTAATCCTCCTGCCTCAGCCTCCCTTCACTGGAATTACAGATGTGTGCTACCATGCCCAGTTTTAAGAGTAATTTGTAGCAAATTGTAGGCCAACCCATTGTATCTTCAGATGACTACTATTGTCTCTTCAAAGTAGTTGGTGACTTTGGGGGGCTGGGGATGTATGTAGCTCTATGGTAGAATGCTTGGATAGCATGTGTGAGGCCCTAGTTTCAGTCCCTAGCATAACAAACAAAAAGCATTAGTGACTTTTAAAGGTAGCAGATTTAGCAATGATTGTGGTCTTTTCGCAAATTATTTTTGGAACTCCTTTTTACTATTACACCATATATATGTACATATGTGTGTGTATATATATATGTATACACACACACATACACACACGTATATAATTTTTTTTTTTTTGGTTGGGACTTTGTGTGTGCTAGGCAAATATGTTGTACCACTGAGCTACATCTTCAGCCCAGTATCTGTTATTGGAACAAGCATGTTTATTCCCTTGGAAGTCATACTGTCAGTTGTAATTTTACCCTTGGTATATTGGTAAAACTCATTTCATATTTTAGTCTTAATACTTTACAGAGGTATTCAAATTCTATAGGCTAACACTATTCTGATGCAGTAGAACTTAAGGTAAGGAGAAAGGCTTTGAATCCATTTTATTAGATTTTATGTAAACTACTTCTGAACCCTCCCAAGAAAATTTTCAGAAATTTCTTGAATTTTTAAATGTTCTCCTTTTTGATGACCTTTTGATAACCATTTCCCTTATTARAGCTGAGCTACAGTAGCATTGCCTTTCTAAAGAACAGAAATACTTGGTGTTRGGGGAGGAACTGCTTTTCTATAGTTGTTCATATGGTTTGTTTTTTCTTAAGAAGGTAGGGTTGCCTTTATGATTGTATCTGTTTCAAGTGGTTGTTACTATTCAGTTCTCGTATTCATTTCTTTTGCATAAAACTTCATAATGTTGGAAGAGATGAACCTTGGGACTTAGTCTTACCTTTATTAAAGACAGAATTTCTTTTTTTTAATAATTAGTCTATTTTATTATTAGTTACTGTTGTTAATCTCTTACTRAGTGTAATTTACAAGTTAAACTTTATTACAGTTATGAAAAACATAATAGGAAAAAAACAGTACAATCCGTCTCCAAATCCGTGGAGTCCATATACACATGATGGGCATCTGTGGAGTCAACCAAYTGCAAGACAGAATTTCTTGATCATTACATAAACATATTATACCTAAAAATTTCCAGGGCTGGGGTTGTGGCTCAGAGGTAGAGTGCTCACCTATCATGTGAGGCACTGGTCACCACTTAAAAATAAAGATATTGTGTCCACCTATAACTAAAAAATAAATATTAAAAAAAATTTCCAGTAATTTTAAACCCTCCTTAATAATAACTTTTCAGCATTTATATTGAACTGTTTTTGTAGCTTGCCTAGAATAGTTCATTTTTCTTCTTCTCTCATCTGTGGAGATAAAAAATGAATTGCCATCATTCATAAAGCATTTCTTGCTAGACTATTGGGTTAAACTTCAAAATTGAAGTTTTTTAGTTACTCTAAACAGAGAAGTTTTTTTTTAAAAAAAGATCTTTTGTTAATAGAGACTTCTCAATCACTGGAATATAGACTATCAGTACTGCTGTTCCAATGTTTTATTGTAATATATTTACATTATTTTATATTAACATTTCTTTACTAATAATTTTCATTATAGTAGTTGTTTTGAGGTCTACGGTTGTAACTCAGTGGTAGAGCACAGTCCCTAGTTCTGCCAAAAAAAAAAAAAAAAAAGTGACAAATAGCTGTTTTTGAGTAATGAGCCTGGCCTCAGTTTCTCTTATCTGCATTCAAGCATTATAATGTCATAAGTAAATTTTGAGTACAGTAAAATTTCAAGTCCCATATTTGAAGAGAACACATAAAAGGGTATAGAGAAATATTTGGGGTTGAGAATGTAGCTCAGTGACAAAGCACTTGACTAGTACACACTGGACCCTRGGTTTGATTCCTAGCACTGCAAAAAATAAAATTGCATAGGATTTCAGTGTGGCCTAGCCTGAAATTCACTTAAGAAAAGAGAAATGTTTCTTTACAATTAACAAATTACATGTGGATAAAGTTTTTCACCTCTAACTCTAGGAGATACCATAATCTACCTTGAGAAGTAAAATGAGATTTGTTTTACAACCCATTCAATCTTTAATTGCTTTGGGAGATTTTACTTCAGTTTCTGTTTTGTGAAAAAATTACTTTTTTCTCGTAAAAGTATCAAGTTAAAGATAATAAGCAATTTTATCATTTGATGGATATGTCCTCTAATTTCAAATTTTTACATGACTTTTTAAAAACTGTCTCTTTAGTATGACATTATTCAACTGTAACCTTTGAGGATATTTTATAAACTTCGGTATACTTTATAGAATATCCATTTTTATATGATGCTGCTAGTTCTTTTTTGTTGGGTTGCTTTAAAGAAGTATGGTACGGATGCTTCAAAATACACATAATTTGCCTTTGTTTCACCTAGTTTCACCTAGTTTAATAGATATTTGAATACCTACCAAGAATAGGGCACTATGCTGAACACTACTTGCTTGAAGAGAGGCAATCACTGCCCTTCAGGAGCTTATAATCTATATGGAAAAATAAAATATTTACAYAGATTTCACAGGTAGGAGACTGTGTCAAAAGAAATATAAATCAAATGCCATGGAAGGAGAAATCACTCATTTGGGAATAATTACAAAAGATTTTATGACAAAGCATGTCTGCTGTGTTGTAACATACACATTTTAATAGTATTCATTGTTACAGCGAACCCTTCATAATTTATCTAGGTAAAAATAATCAAAATCAGATTTCCATCTAGCCTGTTATAGTGAAAATAAAGTGTAATTTGTTTGTTCTTTCCCAGTTGAGAAGTGATTATTTTGTTTRTCTGTTTCTTCCAGGAAGACATTTAAAGTTGATGATATGTTATCAAAAGTAGAGAAAATGAAAGGAGAGCAAGAATCTCATAGGTAAGATAACTTATTAGTTTATATAAGTGATGTATTTGAGGAAAGAGGAAAACCTAAAAGTGATCATTTCCCTAGCGATCACCTCAGTTCTATTAGGAATTGGAAGGAACCTTAGAGGTCAGTTGGCCCAAATTCAACCCAACCCAGGAATTAATTTTTGTAGTGACCCTGAAAAGAGAATTCTTAAGCCTTAGCTTGAATGTCTACAATGTGTAGGAACTCATTATTTGTGAGGCAGTTGTGTTTGTTATTGTTTATTGCCGCCTTGTGACATTTTGGATAAAAATCTGTAATTTCTGCAGTTCATCTCACCTGAGGGAGTGGAGAATCACATTTCTGTGCTAGGTACTTCACAGTGTCACATCTCTTCTAAATAATCATCTTCATATTCTATCCTTTCCTTTCTCTTATTTAAATATCATGCGAAATATAATTTTATGACCCTTTTGACAGAACCTACTTATTGTACACTTTCAAATGTATAACTAGAACTAATTGCTTAATATTCTTTATTATTATGTTGGGGATTGAATCAGGGGTACTCTWTCATTGAGCTACATCCCAGCCCTTTTTAGTTTTATTTTTAGACAGAGTCTCACTAAATTACCCAGGCTGTCCTTGAACTTGGGATATTCCTGCTTTAATCTTTCAAGTAATGGGAATTATAGGTGTGCTAATCCCAGATGTGTAATCTCAAGTAGCTGGGATTACACATCTGGGTAATCCTTTATATTCTGATTAGTTTATTATCTCCTTACTCTAGATAATATGCATTTTTAAATTCTGTTTTTATCTTTGACATTCAAACTAAAAAGTGAATATTCTTCTAAAGAGAAATAGGAACTTGTATGGTGGTTATTCATTCATTGACTGCTTTTAGAGAGAATGAAGAACTAGAAAATATGGATCTCCCCCCCACCCCCCAAGTGCTTGAACCCAGGGCATTGTGTTATAGGCAAGTGCTCTACCACTGAGCCACATTCCCAGTCCTTTTCAAAAATCGGAGTTAGGAAATTGTTACAATGTATTTTTCTTTTTCTCTTTAATCCATTTTACAATTTTGATAAGATRTATGTTTAACAGTGCTGCATTTGTTTTCTTATTGTTTTAGTGACTGATAAAAGATTTCATTTTTCTTTGTAGTTGGCTTATATCTTGAGTTGGCTGTTGAATTAGTTGATTATGTTATTTAAATTATAAAAACAACAGTTTTGTTTTATATCTTGTATTCTTATAGGATTGAAGTGTAATTTGAACTTCAATATGTAGGTAAATTCTGACTTGCAAATAAGGTATGGCGGTCAACTCTGGAAGCTTAAATCTTTACCTAGTCTATGTACTTTTTTTGTGGGTATTGGTGTGTGTGTGTAGGGGAATGGGAGTTTAACACAGGAGGCACTTCACCACTGAGCTACATCCCCTGGCCCTTTTATTTTTTATTTTGAGACAGTCTCACTAAATTGCTTAGGACCTTGCTAAATTGCTGAGGTTGGCCTTGAACTTGCAATCCTCCTGCCTCAGTTTCCCAAATCCCTGGGGTTGTAGGTATGTGCCCTTGCGCCTGGCTCTATGTACTCTTTAAAATAGAACTGAAAATATTGCCGGTGCCTTGAACACATACATTTTGCTTGAATTGCTATTCCAGATGCTTGGTTGATTGTCTACCCTTGGGCTAGGTCTTGGGATGCTCAGGGTCTTTTTTGTGGAATCCAGAGCCTTTGTGCAGTCTGAGCATGTGCTTTACCACTTAGCTATATCCCCAGCCTCCTCAGGGCCTTTTTTTACTTAGAGCCTGATCTGACCCGCCCGCTTCTTTTCTTGACCACCTAAGTATAAAGTGTCCTCTAGACCTTTCAGGTTTCAAATGAGAATGAYGAGTGAGCCAATAATAATAATAAGAAAACTAGACTCTTTTCTTAATTTTCCCTATTAAAATTCTAGTTCATCACTGCTAAACTATTATTATCTCATTGTCATTGTCTTTGATAAATATTACAGAGCTTCCCTAAGAATGTGTGTTATGAGGGAGATAGTACCGGTCAGTTCTTTGTACATAATTATTCTTCCAATAACTTTTGTTCTTTTTGACCCCGTGGGTTCAACGTAAAGAACAAATCTAAGGATTACATTAAAATTCCTACTTATAATTTGGAAGACAAAATTTTCAGTCTTTAGGATCTAGCTGTTCCAGTGAGAGATTTTTATGAATGTCTCAGTCTTGTTCCTAGGGATACTAGATGCATTGGGAAAGTGCTTCATTTTAAGTTTACTTGCCAGACCCTCTAGTCAAGTTATTTAGTGTATTTCTCATCTCAAAGTAAGCCTATTTCTATTGTACTAAACTTTTTCACACAGGGTTGTAAGAAGAACATTATATACCAGTAAATAATGCCAGCACTATAAAACTTTGCTTATAAAAATCTATTGTCAAATTTGTTCTTAAAAAAGAACAAAGCAAGTGTTGGGGTTGTGGCTCAGTGGTGGAGCCCTTATCTAGCATGTGTGAGACCCTGAGTTCGATTCTCAGCATCACATATAAATAAATAAAATAAAGGTCTATTGACAACTAAAAAAATTAAAAAAAAGAACAAAGCAAGTCTTTGTTGTTTGTGACATTAATTAGAAGTTAAAATCTTAAATCATAATATAAAAGCATTTCTCTTCTGTGTTCTCTGTACCGTCTCAGACACAGGGATCTCCTTGAATTTAATTGGATACTGCATCTGTTTAACAACAGTAGTCTAGGCATTTTGTACTGAAATTCTTTTTCTTTCTTTCCTTTTTGTTTTTGGTACTGGGGATTTAACCCAGGGGCACTTTAACACTGAACTATATAGCCAGCCCTTTTTATTTTTTGAGACAGAGTCTCACCAAGTTGCTTAGGACCTCATTAAATTGCTCAGGCTAGCCTCGAATTTGTTATCCTCCTGCATATACTACCATACCTGGCTTGGAGTTCTTGTTTTTTCTGTACTTTCAAAGTTGTAATGTCTCTATTCCCAAGCCCAGTATATTTAATCCCCAGAACTCAATGGGATAATAATCATACACAAAAATACCATAGTACTATRGCCTAAAATTTAAGTACAAATTCCTGAGTTGATTATGACATTTATAGCAACTTCTATTCTAAACCCAAATCCTATCTTTATTTGTGTAAAAGCAGTTGGTATTCCATGGTCGTCATCATCTTTTTTATTTTAATTTTTTTGTAGTTGTAGATGGACAGAATGCCTTTTTTAATTTATTTTTTATTCAGTTCTAAGGATTGAACCTGGTGCCTCACATGTGCTAGGCAAGTGCTCTGCTACTGAGATATAGCCCCAGCTCTCATGGCTTTTAAATTTATTTGTTTCTTTATGGGGGTTGGGTTACCAGGAATAGAACTCAGGGGCATTCTACCACTGAGCCACATCTTCAGCTCTATTTTGTTATTTTATTTAAGAGAGAGTGTCTCACTGAGTTGCTTAGTGCCTGGATGTTTGCTGAGGCTGACTTTGAGCTCACAATCCTCCTGCCTCAGCCTCCTGAGCTGCTGGGATTACAGCCATCTGCCATCATGCCTGGTTTACGCTTAATTTTTTGTGGGGGTACTGGGGATTGAACCCAGGAATGCTATGCCATTGAGCCACACCCCTAGCCCTTTTTTAATTTTTAATTTTGAGACAGGGTTACACTAAGTTGCTTTGGGCCTTGCTAAAGCTGGCCTTGAATTTGGTGATCTTCCTACCTCAGCCTCCCGATCTCTTGGGGTTACAGGCAGGCACCACTGTGGCTGGCTAATACTTTATATCCAAGTTCTTGGAAATCATTTGCAAAAACGTTAGTAGAAGGAGACAATAGAAAACATGTATATATTTCGTGTTTTTTTTTTTTCCTTTTTCTAAGGTATCAGTCAATCTGTGATACTAGACCAAAATTGTCATTTGTAACCTTAAAACTCAATTTTTAAAAATATTTTTTAGTTTTTGATGGAACTTTATTTTATTTCTTTATATATGATGCTGAGAAATCGAACCCAGTGCGTCACACATGCTAGGCAATCAYGCTACCACTGAGCCACAACCTCAGCTCCAAAACTCAATGTTAAAAAAAAATATATTTTTATTAGTTATTGATGGACCTTTACTTATTTATTTGTTAGTATGTGGTGCTGAGAATCAAACCCAGGACCTCACACATGCTAGGCAAGCGCTCTACCACTAAGCCATAGCCACAGCCCCAAAACTCAATTTGTAACCTTAAAACTCAATAAAACTCACCATCTGTGCCCCAAAAGAAAAAAAAAATTCTTTCTTTCTTTTTTTTTTTTTTTTTTTGAGTAGCTTTTGAAAATTTCAGAACTAGCAAATTTTAGAAACTCACTATGGTTATACCTTTGGTTCCYAGGTTTTCCTGATGTTTCTTCTTGCTTTTTTGGTGTGGTTATGTATATTTTAAATATCTTTATTTTTCTTTTAGAATGGCTTATATGATATCTTCTCTAACTCTTGTTTCTGGCACTCTAATTTTGAATGTATGGGGACCAAGCATTGCTTATTMGAATAAATATCTCTTGCTTTTCTGTAGTTATTAATCTAGCAGGGTAATAAGAGTTTCTTATGCTATGTAACCTGCCAATATTGGAATTCTCTAGTCCAAAGAGTTGGAATAATTCTTAAACTTTTAAGTGCATTTCCATAGAGAAAACACATCCTGAAAAGATTTTCAGATTGGAGTTGCTTACAAATGTGTTTGCAGGGGCAATGAAAAGTAGAATGTTTCCTCTCTTCTTTGTTCTGCTTTTATTTCTAGCCCAGTGTTAGTGGTTGGAGAAATCCCCTCAAAAGATACCTTTTATTGGGGGTATTTTCAAGCCTATATTTTCAGTAGTGTCACAAGGCAAAGTGTTTTTTGTTTTATTTCATCTTGTTTTAGTTTTTCAGTTCTGGGGATTGAACCCAAGGCCTTGGGCATCCTTGGCAAGTACTCTGTCACTGAACTATATCCCTAGCCCTAGA